TTAAATTCCTTTATCTCACTATCTCACTGTGTCCTCTACTGTAAATTCAGTATAAAAGTTACCTTCTTCAGAAGCTTTATTATTTTTAAAAGACATTAGGGAGTTTCTAGGTTATTGTTATTATAATGCAACTGTAAACATTTAAAATTATAATACTGTTTAAGACCTTGCCTATATAAAGTCTTCCATGCTAAAAATTTTGAGTTTGACTCCTCTTACTCTCTTGACCAAAGTGTTTTACATTCTAGTCTGGCCCTCAGTAACATTGGTAGGCCTTAGAAATGGCTCAAAATTATGTTCTAATATATCATATTTACTCTTACCTGTTGAAGCTTCATATATATCTTCCAATATCCAAAAGTTTTCAAGAGATCCTCAGCACATTCAGATGTTGTTTATATCCAAAAAGATACATCACATGAGCTCTAGAACCTCTCCAAAAACATATTTCCAGAACTTTCTCTCTCAAGTTTACTAGTGCAAGCACAAATTTACCTTCCTGCATGCTCAATGCTTTTTTCAACTCAGGGACTAAAGTCAAGTCTTACTCTGTGGTAGAATTGATTTATGTCCTCAATAATGATAATCAATTCATATTCTTAAAGCTCAGAAAAGGTAATGCTTGTGCTTCACACAATCTTAAACTTCACCATCTCCTCAATATAACTTGAGATGTAGAAGTTACCTTTGAAATGTAACACATATTTTTCCTATGACATCTAGTTTGGGGCTATTTCTGGACTATTCTGACTTGAGTGTATTACTTTGCTCTCTGGTCCTGTCACTTCCAGGATTTGGAGCCCAGGTTTTCCCTGGATCCCATATAGAAAGGGCCACATAAGTGGGAGATAAGGATTAAGGTTTGGTCCACAGTGGAGGCAGCTAATATATCAGCATTGAGTATGTGAACGTTCCTGTTTTAAGGAAACTCTGCCCTTGTCCACAGAGGAATTTCCCAAGCTTATCACCTTGCACATCATGTTTGAATGTCAAGCATTCAGCAGAATAGCAGTGGGTGAACACACTTCTGGAGTGAATCCACGACAACTGGCGATGACATGGGCACGTAGCAAACATTGTTTTCTCAGGGTGCAGAAGAATATGAAAAACTTACCTATACACCTTGGTGGTTCTGACCACTTTCCTTCATTACATGTTACGTACTTAGAACCCCGGAGTTCGTAGTAGGGCAGGCATTGATATTCAATTCTTGAGCCTGGAGGATACACTGCTAATGGGAGGGAAGTGAAGTCTGCATTGCTAATGGATGGAGGACGTTCACACTTTTCTGTAGATTCTGAAAAACAGCATTTTATGTGTTGAAGATAAATTGTATACTTATGGGAAACTGTCTAAATAAAGCTTCATAGCTGAACCCTCTCTTGCATTTTAAATCTTGGGTCTTAAAAATGTCCCAGATAAAGCACACTCCAACCAGGACGACATACATATGTGCTTTTCAACTCTTGACCAAGGAAGTGACAGAATAAACACACTTACTGTAGCATGTAGGCAAGTGGGTCCAGCCGTCCTCACCACATACCATGGACCCTGCTTTTTTTCCATCTCGGTTTTCATATCCATCCAGGCATTTATAGTCTAATGTGTCATTTACTCCAAACCGTGCACCAGTAATGACAGCTGTGGCATTCGCGAACACCGGCATACCACAGTATTCTAAAGGAAAATGAAAGTGAGAATTGTACTTCTAAAGCCATATCATGTGTGATCCAACGAAAACAATCTGATTCTGGGAATAATACTATTTAGCATAAGTCTGTATATAAATTAAGCACCACTTTAAAATGCTCTGACAGTTGGTGCTATTTTGTGCTGAAGAGTTACATACCATGAAAAAAAAATGATGAAAGCCGTCTGTCCACTGTCACACATAACACATGTATCTATGGTAGTTTCAATACAGATTTAAAAAAACAATGGAAGATTAATTCTTAAGTGAGAGAATCAGAGTTCTCTACTACCCAACACATGTTCTCATGTATATCTCTGGCGTAATGCACTAGATTATATACACTCTGGATGGCAACAGGAAACTAAGAGAAAAAAACGATGTGAGAACCACAATTCTAGTACTTGTTTCAGCAACTGTCAGATAAATATTCACTTTTCCATGTTGGAGGATGAGGGGACCATCCAAAGAGGTAGCACTGAGATGCGTCTGGTCCAACAATTTGAATCTGTGAGACGGGAACCTTGTTCAGCACAGCGCGATCGGCTCTGTCTGGAAGCGCTTCTCTGTCCCGCTAACGGGGTGTCTGTAGGTTTTCTAGAGGAAATGAGTTTCCAGAGAGCACCCAGCCTTCAGTATCAAATACATGAATTACACGGGTGACATTATTCCAGCATATCAATTACACAGGTGACATTATTCCTGCATGAGGCCCTGTGAACCCATACCTTCCCTGCAAAACATAACTTTTGTGTCTAGGCATAAATACTCTGATATAAAAGTCCGATCACGTAAAAACAGGGACAGCAGGCAAAAGGTCTCAGCTAAAAATAATTAAGTTTACACCGGAAGCCACAAAAGGCTCCTAACTAGTTTCTAAGTCACAGGATACAGTGGAAAGAGCTTAAACTGAAAGATGGACTGACTTTCTACCCTACTAGCAATTAATCTTAATAGGCAAATATATATATATACCTTCTCAACATTCTGTATCTCTTCAAATGGAACCACCTCAGCCCATTCCCCCACTCCCCCAAAGAATTCAGATCAAGGAAACTTTTGTACAGCGGTCACCAGGATAATAAACAAAACATCGTGAATGACTTACTAATGCACATGGGCTGAGCGGACCATCCATGTTGCTGACATGTAATCGACCCTGTGGTTTCACCATCTGTGTCACGTGTACTTGTTTGCACTTATATTGTACTTGTTTGTATAAGGGATATGTAGGCTCAGGTTCATAAATCCATTTAAAATTTCTATTTCTAATTTTGAATATATTTCTAAAAAGAAGTGAGCATAAGGAAAAGATAAACTTGTATTCAGTGAATGTTTTCATAAGGACTCAACATAATATAAAAAATGAGGAGTCATTTGTAAATAAAAACCTGGAAAAACCTAATAATCCAAGGACTTGTGTCAGAGAAGATAAATAATGAGTTTCCAAAGGTATTAAATCAATATATTTTATTAAAAAATTTTTTGAGCAAAGCAATATTTAAAATACTCAGAATCCCTGGTCAGAAATACTAAGCATCATGTGTCTAATGGATCTGGAATCTCAGAGCTTGCCAGAGCTCTCTTTGCAATGGGTTCTTTCCTGAGTTTGGCTTTAAATATTGCTAAATATTGTGTGTTCTCACCACAAGGGAAAAAAAAGTTTACTATCTTACGTGATGGATATGTTAATTAGCTTGATCGTGGTGACCATTTCACAACATACATATATCAAAGTAGCAAGCTGTGTACCGTAAATATATGCTACCTCTGTTTATCAAACATGCCCCATTAAAGTTGAAAGAATCAAATTTCAAAAAATAAAAATATGAGCAGAACTGAAATAGAAACAAACACTAGAGAAAATGTACAGAGTTAAAAGGTGGTTCACTGAAGAAATTTCCCAAATGGATAAACCAGGCAGGAAGATTCGAGAAACAGAAAGTTCCAGCCATAAACAATGAGGAAACTGAACTAAATACGTGAAAATAACCTAGTGAGGCTTGAGAAAACACTCAGGGCCTAACGAAAATTCTGGACAGATAGAGGCAAATGTGAGCTCTGTCCTCAATGTTCCTTTGTTTGGGGGGGAGTTTCCAGACTACACACCGGAAGAGAAAACCCTTTCATACCAGGGTATGTCAATCATACTGAACAAAATACACCCAAGTCAGTGACCTCACAGTGGTGGACATCACTAGAAGTTGAACTTCGAGAACCTGAGGAAGACACTATGGAATGAAACATAGAGCTCAACAGATCTGCACAGAAATCACTAGATTCTTTGCCTGAGTATATCACACTATCATGCAGGTCAAAACCCCATGAGAATGGGTAACAGATAACTGCCAGAGGAGGAACCCCATAAATTCAAAGACTTCAAGGGCACACACAACCCTGGGAAACATTCAGATTTGATCAGAGTGGATCCACCTCTTTAGACAACAATCCTTAGTGGAGAGACTGGAAGAGGCCTCACTCACAGCGATCTGAATAAACTAGTCCTGGAGGAAAGGCTCCCAAACCAGCCATAGGGGAGTTTAGAGAAACGCCTTGAAGGGGTCAAGTTGACCCGTAACCCACTTAGCCTTCCCAAACAATATGAAAGCAGCAATCTTTGAGGTCTCCAACCCCAAGACTAAGGTCTATCAGTAGGATCATTTATTTTTCAGTACACGCATCCAGAGTTCAGTGTATCCGCTCACACACACTTGGAAAGAATAAAACCAAACAGGTGTCCTGGCAGAACAAGAAGCTGATATGAACATCCTGCCAGTTATTATGGGCAAGGTTTAGAAAACCACAGACATCCTGGGGTCTCAGACAAGTTTACTTACTGACACGGCATACGGGAGGAGGGGACCAGCCATCCTCTGTACATGTCATTGAGGTCTGCTGATCGGGAAAAGTGTAGTCAGCATGACAGTTGACTCTTAGAGATTCACCCTCCATATATTCTTTTTCATGTTGTGGAGAAACACCATTTTCTAAGTAATTGAAGATACATTTTCCTAAGAATTACAAGATAATAAATGAAAAGCTCATAAATGTGTTCAAGATAGTAAATGAAAACTTACCTTTATAATATTCAAATTAGAATGCAAAAGCATCGAAATGTTGGGTTGTTGGAAATGTCATGACGTAATTGTCCTATGTTTTTCATTGCAAAAATGCGTCGACTTTTCCGACAACCCCATATAACACATAGCTTAAGAAAAAGTAACTACTACCAGATGATTCTTGAAAAAAAGAAAAACAAAATTCAATATCATATATCTGTAGTTTTCATAATTAAAATGTCTATAATGAAATAGGTATTCTCAGAAAGTCTCTATTTTTACATCTTATGTTATATTAATGAAGAGCTCCGAAGAAAAGGAGAACCTGTGTTGGTCCTTGATTCATGGAGCTCAGCCCTTGACCTTATTTTCGTCACACGAGTCTTACCTGTGCTCTGCTGTGTGCTCTCCTCTCTTAGACATATTTACACATATGCACTGTTACAAAGAGGAGTACGTACTGCGGCACTGTACTGCTGGGGACCATCCTTCTTGTGTGCAAGTAATGTAATCCCAGTAGTTCCCTGAATGAGTCACAAAGTTGTCTTTGCAGGAATAGTAAAACCAGGTTCCTATGGCTGCTGGAAAGTATGATTTATATTTATTTTCATTATATAGACTTCCATGTTTTATTTCTGGAAAACCACAAGGTTGAACTGACAATAAAAGCAAACAAAAAAACAGTGTGAATAATGTTTTGCCTTGATAAGATATCAAATGAGAGACAAATTATTTCATTGATGAATAATATTTTCTCATTAACCTAATTACACTAGGATTCCTAGGAAAAGAAAAGTTACAAAATCAGATGTTGTAAATAAGACTTGTTTCATGATCATTTCGCAAATATAGAAATGTTGAATCATTGTGTTTTGTACCTGAAACTAATACAATGTTATATATATATATGTTAATATTATCTAAATAAATACATAAATAAACAAAGGTTTCCCTCAAATTGTTCTGCACATGGAGGCCTGTTTCTGGTGATAATAAGAACCTCTTCCAGGGTATCATACTTTCAAAATTCATTTGGACTTGGACCCTGATATAACACTGAGGCCACTGAGCAATTACTTTTGTCAGTACATTTTTGATTCACGGAATATCCAGCTTAAGCCTTGGCCATGTTTACAATGAACTGTGATGGAAAAAGACGGGAATATGATTTTCAGGACTAAAACACTTGAAAGGGGGCTAAAGAAACATCCCTAGTAATAAATCCCCTGTTGAATTGAGTGGCACTTTGTGACATGCGAGGGCTTTAGAAAGCTCCAGAGTCTTCGATGCCCCCTCCCTCCTAAAAGGAAGCCTGACTCCCTCCCCTTGCCTGTGCTGGAATCAGTGACTCTCTCTGAGACCAGCTATGGCTGAGGTGAAGTGTGTGACCAGGTCGCAAGTGGTGTGGAGGCTTCCTGCTGTCTCTCAGATCACTGGCTCTGGGGCAGTGGGCCGCCATTCAAGCATCCTATGGAGACCCGTGTGCTTATTAGCACTGAGGCTCCTGCCGAAAGCCACGGAGTGAGCCGTGCTGGAAGCCGCCCTCCGTGATGGCCGCCGAGGCCCACATCCTGACTCAGGAGCCTGACTCTGACCTTGGCAGCTAAGCCGCTCCCAAACTCATGACCCAGGGGACTCTGAGATGATGATGCACAAGTCTTTCTTATGTGGAGATGGGCCTGGGGAGCTTTCAATAGGGACACTCTGGAAGCTTTGGTGAGTTGTTATTGCTGTTAGTGAAGGAAATTGCCCCAATTCAATAATGTACAAAACACCACGTGCACAAATTATGACATGAATAATGTACAGTGATGCATATTCGACCCATATCTGGTAGTTAATGGGGCACCATAAAGCTCATTACAGTGTTCAGGTGGGATAACTGGAAAATGAGAGGACTGGATTATAAACTTAAATGACAGACAGAAAGGCATAATAAAGAATTTGTAAATTTAATTATAGAAGTTATAGAAGAACATTTTTAAAATGTTCAAAATTTCACGTTTTTTCAGGACCTAAGAAAACAAATTAAAATGTATTGGGATTACAGTGGAAATTAAGAATATATTCCATTTTTGTTAAAAGAGATATGTCTGTTGCATATAGCTAATTTTGTTAAATATTAATAATTGTTAGTGATGTTAATGACCTTTAAGAGTTTATCAAGCCATAATTAAAACATAGTAAACTGAATTATTTAAAATGTATGATTTGATGAGGTTTGACATAAGAAACTGTAAAATCATCACCATATGTAAGATTATAAAGAATTCCATCCCTCTCTAAAGCTTTCCTGTACTACAAATAAGAACACCCCCAAACACTTTGGAGTTATAATCAGCTTTTCTGTGACATATTTTCTTGTCACTTTTTCATGATCCTATTCACATGAGTCCCTAATCAGTATGGACTGAATTTTCACTTCGTGGAACACAGAAGACACAGAAAACAATTGATTTTGTTGTCTCTCAATGAAAAGGTGATAATTATTCCACATCTAATAATACAGATTATTTCTACCAGTTGATTCTTTCAAAAAATAAAGACAAATGAAAGAGATAAGTTACATTTAAGAAGGAGCTTGAATATTCACGTAGTTTCAGCTCACCTTGTTCCTGAGCCCAGGACACCCCCAAGGTCAGGATGACACTGAGCAGGAGCACCATGCTACCTGTTCCCAATGGTGTCGCAGTCCAAGTGCTCCCGTCGTGCTGTGTGGGGCAGAAGTTGCTTCATGAGCAGCTATCAAGTGTGACTCTGCATTTAAGGGCACTGTCAGGAAGCTACTTTATTGAGGTCAGTTAGTAAACATCAAAGTTCAAAGAGTTTTACCAAAACCCTCAATCTCCATTAATGATCAATTACTAATGTGATTGCCAAGATGTCTATTATAAGCCCTAATTCAACTACTAAAAAATAGATGAATAGTAAGCAATGAATTGTATAAAATAAATTCTAAAAGCATGACACTAATGTAAACAAATGCAGGTAAGGATCCTAAAGCATTCTAGAGAATAGATGGGACACATAGAAGCAACTGGCAAATGGTATAAATAAATCCACCAATATTAAATATTGATATTACATTAAAATTTAATAGGCCGATGATAAACAAGATAAAGTAGAAATGGATAAAAAGGAAAACCCAATTATATGCTGTTTCTAAAGAGAGCAATTTAAATGTAAAAACGTGACATGTTGAAAGCAAAATGTTGAAAAATGTAAACCTTGTATGAACTAAGCAAAAAAAGGTGGAGTAGTTACGGTAATATCAGATAAACCAAATTTCAAAAGAGAGTTACCAGAGAACAATGAAGAGTGTTGAATAATAATCATCATCATCATCCAATCCAGGTGATATCAAATTCACAAAGAGAAGGGGAACAAAAGGATGAAAATTGTAAGGAGAGACTAAAATATGAATTTGTAATTTAGAAAAATTTAAGGATTCCACAAGAAAGATCTACTAGAGCTAATACACAAAGGCATTTTCTTTATATTGAGAACAAACTTTGGAAAAAGAAATTTTAAAACAGAACATTATTCTTTATAATTATAAAAGAAACTGAAAATATCAAGGAATAAATTCAACAAAATATTTGTAGCCTATGTACCCTGAAAATTTGAAACATTATTGGGAAAAAATGTAAAAGACAAATACAGAAAGTAATCCATAATGTTTATGGATTGGAACACTTACCATCATTAAGATGCTAATTCACCCCAATTATTTGATGCTTTGAATACGACCCAAGAAAAATTCTATAATTTAACCAAAAAATAATTGATGACATCATTCAAAAATTCATGTGTAAATAGCCACAGTAATCCTGAAAAAGAACAAAATGCAGTATATATAATCCTGATATCTAGATATATAATACAGATACTCTATTTAACACAATGTGGAGCTGCCATAATGATAAACATATTGATCTGTGAAATTCAGTGCGATCAGACATACACACCCACACACATCATTCATGGGGTAAGATTTTCCCTGGAAATGGTGAGGTAACAGTTGGAGTCTGGGAGAGTAAACAGAATGAAACCTTGGCCTGTGTCATGTCTTCAGTCTGGGCTTAGGCCCAGTAGCAGGCCCAAAGCTCCAAAATCCTTCAGGTCTGCAGGTCTTGACTCACCCTCAGGGGCCTGGGAAGGCTCCAAACATTGTCCATTTCTCCCACTGACACTGCAGCAATGGGATCTGCTGGGTCACGTGACCCAAGGGGCAGAGCCTCTTGCATGGCGGCCTGGACCTGTGACAAAACCTCCTCCTGTTTTGTGACTCACTCACACCAGCAGCTTCTGGGGACCACTGGTACCTGGGTTAGAGGAGCAGTCTCAAATCAGGGGTATTTTGCCTCCAAAATCTAGAGACACCCACTAGAGGGTCACACTTTGGATTTTTAGGTTGTGGGGAACTGTGTGTGTGTGTGTGTGTGTGTGTGTGTGTGTGTGTGTGTGTGTGTGTGTGTGCGCGCGNTTCAATTGTCATGTTTATTAATTGTAATCTTAAGTTCTTAGGAAAATAAACAAAAACACACACTTCCTTTGAGAATAGTCAAGAATTAACACACTTTGAAGAAATACCGTTGTTGAAGGAAGATGGTGTACAGTCAACAGACCCAACAAATAGAAGTTGTGAAAACATAAGAAAAAGGGCAATGTGTAATTGATAAAAACACGCCAGTGATTTTGGGGAGGGGGCGATGATTAAGGACACCACAAGGAGCCAAGTGTAATTCATCAGAGAGATTCAGGTGGATATGAAGTCATGATTGGCTCTCACGAGGGTTCCCAAACTGAGGTGCGCGTGGGCTTTCCTGGGAATTGTTACAACGATCTCAGGGGCACACACGGGGCATCTTTTGCTCTGAATGTGAGTGCGCCTGTGAACTTGCATTTGCGTTTCTGAAATATCCATGAAAATGCGGTTGCTGCCACCCCAGGGACTTCACTCTGAGAAGGAGAGGAAGCAGGCTAACCATAGAATCCACTTCCGCCCCTTTTGTGGAGGCATTACCCTTCTATGACTTGGCCTAGAACATAACTTACGTCAACTTTTTAATAAATCTAGAGGTAATTGCATATGATAGTACTTCAGTCACTTTAATAAATTTAAAATGTCATCTCCTTACCTCTGCAGGTTGGTTTCCCCAACCATTTGCCCTTAATACACTGCACAGTATTGGATCCTTCCATTTGGAAATATTGTGGACATTTATAAGCCAGTTCTGCTCCTGGCTTATATGATGACTTCCGCTTACTCATGAGTATGGCATTACCAAAACTGGGAGGCTGAGAACATTCTGCTTCTGAAAGGAAAACAATATGCATTTGTTCAGCAAATCATTAGAAATATGGCCAATAATTCAAGTCTAGAATAATAGTTAGGCACATATCAAACCATTGAATACGGTGCAATATTTTTCTTATAACATGAAAATGTTAGCAGGTATGACTTAGTGACATCGACTGATTCTACATTTATCAGAAGTAAGACAAGGGAGCGGTGACATTAGAGCCTGGAGGGATACGGCTGCACGTGACGCTTGAGCCCAAACTTCTTACATTCCCATCCTTACTTGCCCATAC